GACTGGGGACTTGCTATCACCATGAACAAGGACCAGTAAGTTCTCACCAAGTTTTGGAGGTCACTAAGCACCAGAAGGGACATCTAAGGAGATAATTAAGCAGTGGTTTCAACAAGCCAATACCACCCCAACACTGCAAATGATATGCTGAAATGGTTTAGGCAATGCTTTGGTGGTCAGCTCATCAGTTGCAGAACGCAAACCATATGGGCAGCTCATTCGCCTGATCTAAATCCCCCAAATTTTTAAGCCAATTTGTATACTGACAGGCCCCTAACAATCTTAAGAGGGCAATAACTACCCCAATATTTACCATCCACATTAATGTGTGTAGGTAAGGGTCATTAACAACTTTGTTCACAGGATTCGTTTGTGCATAGAGAGGAGAAGTGCCCACTTTGAGCATGTTTTGTAAAGGACTGTAGTTTTTCACACAATGAATTCACATTGAATGAACTAAATAATTCTAAAATTTCAAGGCAAAATATGCAAAATTGACCGAGTTATTCAACTTTCTTACGGTCCTGTTTTTTTTTGGACACCCTGTATTATAACAAAGAACGCGGTCAAAAAACGTTTATTTCCTGTTTTGACAGCGCCAAAGCCTACGATACCGTGTATCACTCTGGTCTGTTTCTAAAGCTGCATCACCTAGGAATCCGCGGGCGCTTCTGGAACATCCTTTATGAACAATATAAACACCTAACGGGTGCTATAGTATTTAAAGGGTATCAGTCAGAGTGGTTTCCCATTGAACAATCTGTGAGGCAGGGCGGAATTCTATCTGGCTGGCTGTATACCATTTACATTGACGAGCTCCTGATTATGATAGAAAACTCAGGTTACGGAACAATGATGCACGACATCCCATGCTGCATTGCGACATATGCGGACGACATTGCTCTAATAGCCAACACCAAACAAGCATTAGATCGCATGATGTCAATAGTCATTGATTACTCCAAACAATGGCGTTTTAATTTCAACGTAGGAAAATCATCAATTATGACTTTTGGAGAATCAAAACAGACAAATGAAAAATTACGCCTAACTCGAAGATGGACAACAGAAATAGGGGAGATAAATGAAACGGAAAAAATGAAACATCTTGGAAACTTGTTCCAATCAACACTAGAGCGCCAAAGCACTATCACCAATGCGTGTCAGAAGATGAGAGGCTCGTTTGCGTCCCTAGTTGGCATAGGGGTACATCCCAAGGGTCTTAATCCGCTAACTGGTCTCAAACTGATAAATTCAATTTGCATACCGTCTGCGCTTTATGGATGTGAACTCTGGCACAATCTAACTAACAGCAATATACTTGAACTAGAGAGAGCCCAAAGGCTAGTACTTAAAAATCTCCTAGAATTGAGTAAAACAACCAGAACAGATGATGTTTATGGCCTCACAGACACCATGCCCATTGAAAGCACAATTGACAGTAGGAAACTTTCGTTCCTCGGAAGGCTATGCAACATGAACCAAACCTCAATAACTAAGGACGTTTTCTTATTCAGAGCACATTCAAATCATCTAAAAACCAATAAAATTGTACAGAAAGGTTATATACCGGATATATGGAATGTGCTCGAAAAGCACAACCTTGAAGACTATTTGTTGAACTACCTTGACAATGGATACTTTCCACCAAACAAGCTATGGAATAAAATCTGCAGATATCAGGTAAAACAGACACAAATATGCTCTGAAAATAGAGCAAACAGAACAGATGCACGGATACCAACAAACAGATTAAGAGAACACCAATTATGGAAAACTGCTCAAAAGGACCATACGATACTAAGAGAATCATTAACAATGGCGAAGGTGATATCAATGCCACTCGAAAATAGGGAATCTTTGTGTGAAAAATGTGGAATGCTTTACAATGACACTATTTCACATATTCTTCAAGAGTGCGCCAACCACAACTCGCAAAGAGAGCAAGTTATCAGAGCCCTCAACTTAAACCAAGATGAAGAATTCAGTCGTTTACCGAACGTCAGTGCTACGATCTGCAGACCATCAGACTCAAACACAGAGATCTCAACAACTGTTGTTACAGAGTATTTACACTATGTTGATCGATTGATAAGGGAAAATAATGTATCATTGGTACCTCCATTTCCGAACACTGCACAAAATTAACCACATGATTGTATTGTTTTCTTATTTAACCTTGTACCTTTAAAATTGTGATGTTATTATTAATGACGCTAGCAGAATACTAGTGTCAATGCACCTGTAATATAAGTTCATATGAAATCCACACATATGTGGGAAATAAAGATACATACATACATACATAAACCAGCTATGAATCCAATTTAAACTAAAATGTTTGCGTTTTCTGGAGGATGAACCTCTGTAGAATACATTGCATGCATTCTTTTACTAAGGTTTTTATATTTCATAAACTTAATATGTTCTTTTTGAAACACAACATGTTTCAAAATATACAGAATATATTTCTCTAACATTGAGATCTGTCGGCTATTGCGCAGTATAGTAATCTATTTTTAGACTAGCTTGTTGTTCACGAATTTGAGATCAACAAGGTGAGACCTCAATGATCTCTGACTTTTGATTCACCGGTTAGACTGATCTCTGACTTTGGGATCAACTGCTAGACCTATATGATCTCTGATTTTAATGACCTCTGATCTTGAGGTTAGGTATAAAAGCCAATGTTTCAAGAATTGCGCAGTTTTTAAAAGAAGTTTTTAGAGAAGTTTTATATTGAGTCTTGAAACAGTAGGAGATATTGTGGAAATTGTAATTATTAAGAGATTGAAGAAATAAAATATATTTTAATACGCCTCTGAAGGAAAGTATTTTGTGTTTGAATCTAACATCCAAAAATACGTAACACCTCTTCAGTTATTATTTTGTTTTAGGTATTCATTTGACACAACCATCAAAGATCTTCTGGGAGACGAATTCGAATTGTCCGATAAAACTTCGGAAAAGGAGGTTACAATCAGAGTGAGTATAAAAACTATATGACTTTATTTTGATTATATCATAGTACTATATAGATATCTGTATAAAATCAAAACAGCGTATATGTTATTGAGCACAATGGATTTAGAAAATGGTCAATTGGTAACATGAATTGTACTCAAAGAACAACTAAAATAACAAAGAAAGCAAGATTTAAAGAGCTCTACTATTGTACTATTTGTTTCTCTCTGTATTGTCAGGATATCCTATCAATGAGGCATGGAATAGGTGACGGAGAAGTATTCTATGATTTAGTACAGAACTTTTTTGCCTGGACGAAAGATGACTACATCAGGTAATGTACTAAGAGGGTTATTCAGCGTAACATCGATATAAGGGGTATGTTTGTCATATATATTATTTTTGGAAACACCGTGCGTACGTTCGAGTGTCCGGTTTAGGGGTTTCAACATAATTTTACTGATGCAATTGCTAGATGCGAGTAGAAATAATCTTGATTTACATCATTAAAGATTCAAAAAGTCAAGCTGATGTCATATTTGAAACCTACATGTAAAAGAACATTAAGAAATATGGTTTCGAAAATTGTTCATCAACTTTGAAAATTGAATTTCTCTGGAAAATGACTTTAGTTCGGGGAATTTCCCAGACAGATAACATTTTCTTTTACTGGATATATTTTCATTTGCATAACTATTAGATACATAAGGGTGATATGAAAATTGAACAACAAAAACAAATATAATTTAAGTTAAAGGGAACTTTTTATTATACCCGCCATGCTATAGCTACAGTACATGTATCTGACCCGATCGATGGTGAAACTGGTAACTACCTACTCGCATCTGCTCATCATTTTGTCTCGCCTTGGACAATGTACTTTTTCATCGTTTGAGCCCTCTGCATATTAAGAGGCCCATCTAGCATTGAACTCTGCATAGTGCATATCTCAAATAGCAACATATTTCATGGGGTGGAAATATTAAATATTGATATAACATCTAAAAGTAAAATAGGGAGGGGAAAAGCTTTAAGGTTTATTTCAATGACGGTCACGAAATTAAAGATGAAACAATCTGTTTTTACATTTTATATTACATGTAGTCCTCGTCACGTGTGTCTTTAACAAATAGAAGACTATGACAGTGAATATGTAAAACTCATATTTTCAGACAAATAAAGCATTATCCGGTAACCGATGAAATTAGGCGAGCATACCACTACTCAAGTGCTGGATTTGCGTTTCTTGAAAAAGCGTTTGAGTTACTTGAGAATAAAACAACCAAACAGATTTTACACGACGAATTGTTTGAGCCATTGGGTATGGTAAATTCAAATACAATAGACGAGGCTCGATTCGATGACAATTACGCCTTAGGGTACCAACCGGGTTCAAATGGGACACTTATCAAAGTAACTGGAAACTTTGTAAGGTACATTTAGTTTCAAATGGACGAATGGTGTAAATTTGCCATCTATGATTACATTTTACGTTTTTCATTATTACTTAGTACAATAACCATAAAGTAGATACCATTACTACATCTCACGTGAATATTATAAAATGCACTGTTAATTATTCGATTATACCAAAAAAGGATGAATTGTTTGTAGAATGAATCGGGGGAGTTTTTTCAAGCTTTGCGCCTTTATATCGCAACCCAAAAAGGTGTGTATTAAAGATTTACTTTCCTGTTACCCCAAAAATCTGCTTGGAACTATACCATTGGATTTCTATGGTAAATTCCTCAAAATGAAATTCCAGGGTTTGAGGAACGGGTACCATTTAAAAAAGTTATTGGCTTACATGAAACCTACTTAAAGCAGCATTTACATTATTCAAGCGAATAGAATCAATGATTCCCAGTCCTCTGAAGTTGAAAAAAATCCTGGGTGTTAATCCATCATTCTACAAACAACTCTCCCTCCTTTGAGGCAAAATTCAGGGTGATTTTTACCCGGGGGTCTTTACATTGATAAAAATCCGTCCGTGAATTCTAGGATATCCCCTTCATATTTTCAGTCGTAGTTCTGGGATGATTGGCGGTTATGGGATGGCTAGTACTGCAGACGACCTTGCCAAGTATCTAAGATTCGTCCTGAGAGGTGGAGTTTTAGAGGATGGAGAAACAGTTGTGAGTGTGATAACTTTCCAAACGATATATGTTAGAATTGTGAGTGGACCATTCTCTGAACTCACTTTAACGACAAACTATAGCGTCTGAAAGATTGATTGATCAGTCATTGATTGAATCGATTTTCGGCGGTTGATACCATAATACCCTCATTTCATTTTCATTTTTTTGGAATCTCAGATCTACACCGACTGAAGGGTACCCTTTGTCCGTTTCAGTACTTTGAACAATATTATTTTATATTCACTAGAAGCCTAAGACTTTAAGCCGTCGTTCAAAATCTTGCTTTTAAACTTTCGTGACTAAAACGATCCATTCATTGGTTCATGGTGTGAATTAAAAGAATGAAATTCTACCAGAAGCTTAACTCACTGCTGGTCAATGCTATTTTAGGATTTTCTGCTGGTGACTGGTCATTTTGATGAACAATTTGTCAAATTGCATGTTTTCAGATTTAGCATAAAATGGACTGTATCAACAATCAACACCCTATTTTTCGTGTTTATTGACCCCTACACTATTTGGTAAGATTATTGGTACAAATTGTGTGACAATTATTGGACAGCACCCCGAGATATCGGGGTTGGTCAGTCACAGATTGGTGTTACTAAGGGAGGGAACTTGAAGAATTATATGGGATTATAAATATTCATAATGATAATAATTATATTCCAGCACGTAAACAGAGATCTTATAGAAGACGCCCTATCACCACAAATGTTTTACCCAAATCCATATGGTGGATTCACTGTTGTCGATGGTTACTCTATGAGACCAGCTGCCCCATTTACAAGCCATACGTATGCCTACGGGTTGGCATCATGGCATCGTTATTACAGAGGTGAGTATCTTCCTTTAGAGTTGCTAGAGTAATAAGTAGGGCAATTGACTGTCTCCTAAAATAATTGTAAAATAACTGCACGCATAAATATTTCTCATCAATGTGTTTTCCATCCAGTAAGATCCCTTGATATAGAATCCAAGAACATTGATTGGGACATTTTACGAACATCGCACTTATCTCCTCCAAAATGGATCTAATTGTATCTTATTTTTTATTGCATATGGACAATTTACAGATTTAAAGAGGCCCTATGCAATAGGATAGCACAATCAAGACCCCTCTGGACTTTTTCAGTGTTAATTTTGCGATTGTGCTGACCGATCTAATTATTTTCGAAGAAATTAATTCAATCTGAAGTTTGATTATACCGGGAAAGTCCTCCTGTTATCTGATTGGTCGTTGCATTTGTTTATCATGAACCTGATTGGCTGCCCTGTTCAAGGCGCTTGTGTGACTCAATGGGTATTCCCCTCGTTAGCCGAGGAATGTTTAATTCTGGAGTTTGGTTGTTCTGTTGATTATATTTCAATTTCGGCAATAATATACCCAAAAGTTATTCTTAGGATATATCCATGGTATGTGACATATTATATGAGCAATAACAATAGGACACCATTAATTGTCTGGGGGAGAAACCTATGGTATAATGCATCTTTAAAAAGGAAATCTGTGACCTATTAAAAGGGGATGCGTCGAAAATCTGGTTTGAAAAATATCATAATTTTGATGACCAAAATTAGGCTAAAAAGGATAGCATGACCTTTGAGAAATCAATGTGGAATATGTTATTTTCAACTTAATCACTGAACTTTTTCAAAATTCCAAAATTGTTAAAGGTTATTTCACATAACTTGTTGGTTAATACTCTGCTATTTCGAATATGATTTATAGAATGAATAATTCCAGGATTTCAGTTGGTGCAGCATACCGGAAGTCACTTCTCAGACACATTGATGACTTACCACCCAGATTTAAAGATTGGTATCTACGCTGGTTTAAATGGCCCATATGAGCGAGTATCATGGGCCGTTGAAACCATCGTTCATGAATACATTCTCGATATACTTCTTGATTTGCCGAACTACTTGAACCAAACAACGGTGTGTAGCTTTCCCGCCCCCTGGGGAGAGCCAGTGGATATTCCAACGTTTACTGCTATCCTAGAGGACGTAGCTTCGACGCTTCCGCTGGAGGAATATACCAGTGTATTTGGGCGTGCTGCATTCGGATGCATGCATATGACTTTGAATCGAACCGATGATGACACCGAAGTCTTACAGTTTTCTATGAGTGAGGCCAGAATGTTCGCATATCCGAAAGAAGGACAGGCTCACGAGTTTTGGTTGAAAGGAGTAGATGATATGTACCACTTGTGGTATACTGGACCTTATTCAATTAGATTTACTGAATCCAATGGTCTTATAAATGAACTCATATATCAAGGATTAGAGTTTGAGCGAATGCCTGATGACAGTGAGCGATTGTGTTCGTTTTACCTTACAGGTCAGCAAGACGCGGATTAGGGCTACTCGGATGATACACAATAATGGTACCATTTGATACTTGCGCACTGGTACATTAGAGCCAACAAAAAGTTCTAAAAAAGCAAGCCCAGTGTCATCAGTTTACTTACCTATTCTTACTAATGAAAATGGATTCTACCAATGCTATCCCACAGAATCTACTTGTTGAGACTCGAGCAACTTGAGTTCTTGATTTAAGAGAGATTTCGCAACTCACTTATATGTTTATCATTCCCGTATGACATGTATAACTTATGAAGCGTTTGAATAAGTCAACATTTATTGTTCAGCTCTGCTATACGTCCATAAGTGTGACACCTTCTTGATGAATTATTCTTGGGCTTCATACCGTTCCTTGAATATTTTAACAAAGTATCATGCAAAATGCTAGATTTTCAGAAATTGATAACTTAAATTACTCATCATGAAATGAGATCAAACATTGCAGAAATTAAAAGGGGCTGAGTTGACTTGGGGTTGAGTTTTACTGGATAAACTTGACTTGGGGTTGAGTCTTACTGGGGTTGACTTGACTGGGGGTTGACTTTTACTGGGTTGACTTGACTTGGGCCGGTTGAGAGTTACTGGGGTTGACTTGAGTTGTGGTTGAGTTTTACTGGGTTGACTTGACTTTGGGTTTAGTTTTTCTGGATTTACTTGACTTGAGGTTGGGATGACGAGTCACCGATGACCATATCACTGAAGATGTACTGTATTTTTTCATATTTTTCAATTATCAATTTAAGAGAAAAAATGTTGTAACAAGTTCACCAATACCCAGTCATATGATAAAACGTTTTAGAAGAAAAAAAGATCATTTAAAATGTAAGGTGTCTGTGCCTTCTAAATATCTTCGATTTCGTACTTCATCAGGACTGGCTTTCGACTAAATTCTTGCTGGAGAGTAATTTATTTTGACATTGCAAATTCTTGATATTTCTTTGAATAAAAATAAGCACAAAGAGCACAGAGAAATGATTCAGTCAATAATATACACAGTCCAGGGCTTAATCTGTTAATTCCTCAAATAAAATGGCAGTAAGAATCTCTAATTAGCTTGAACTTAGCTACAAAGCTATAAGTGATATTTATCGCAACGCATTTAGCAAACGCAAAACAATAGAAACGTAAAGTAGCGAACACAAGTTAATGCCTGGGTCACATATGCTCCGATCCATCGGCCGGCGCCCGCCCAATTGAGTGTTTTGTTCAATACTGTATTCAATTTTGAACGAAATACTCAATTGGCCGGACTTTGCCTTGATTTGGAACTGGACATCGGCCTTAACTGGACTTGGACCTGGACTGGCCTTGGACATTGACTGAACTTGGGCCTTGACTTGGACATTGACTTTGACCTGGACTGGACTTGGACTACACTTGAACCTGGACTGACCTCGGACCTGGACTTGTACTTGGACATGGATTTGGACTTTGACCTTATTCTGGACTTTGACTGGACCGGACCTTACCTGGACTTGGACCTGGATCCATACTTGGACCTTGACCTTGAGTTGGACCTGGACCTGTAACTGGACTGGTATTTTTTCAATATTTTCTTCTCTTTTCTTCGAGATTTTTTGCAAAAGAAAAAATTTGTTCCAGGCCCAATTGGCAAAAAAAAGTTTTGCTTAGAGGCTTTTTGGGCAAATAATGTTTTTTTTAAATAATGCCTTGAAGCAAAACGAAAACGTTTTTTGGGTAAAAGCCTCGAAGAAAAACGTTTTTTGCCAAAAAGCCTCGAACCAAAAGTTTTTTTTGAAAAAAGCTTGTTTTGTCAAAAAAAAACTCGAACCAAAACGTTTTTTGAAAAAAACCTCTTAAGATAAATGTAGAACAACCATTTTAAATTGTCTTCAGTACTTTTTGTAAAGCTGCTTGACCTGATAAAAGAAATGTATGCAAAAAGGTTATTGTTATGTTATTCAATTCTTTTGGGAAAGGGTTAAACTTGAACATAAAGTTTAATGAATTTGCATTTTGATTCAGTGATACTCCTTTTTAGGGCAAAGCTGTAGCATGGCTAAAGCAGGGGGCCTTGGAATGAGATCTTAGACTTAAAAAATGGTTCCAATGTTCGGTCACATTGCAAGCCCTAGAGCAGTAGAGCAAAGTGAACCTCTTGACTTTCATCACGATATTGTATTTGCTTTATTTTCTTGTACCCTTCTGCCCTTGAGGGATTGAATGGGAATTTGCATTGTTATTGTTACGGTATTAAATAAATATACGTATCTTAAAATAAAAAGTAAAAATACATTCAGTACCTCTTTCAGTAACAACAGGATCTTAAGAGGTTCTGGACAAATCATTTGATTCTGGACTTGTCATATTTTTTTTTCAACGAAATCACATCCAAGGGTTGAATTTTTATTAGCTATTTAGAGAGTGAGTCCTGCCTAGTATTAATTTCAATAAAAAAGTTAAAATAGAACCCTATTTGAGAGTCAATCTTATACTTACATTACATTGATAAATTAAGGCAAATCCTGAAATATTTTTAAAGTGCATTTTTTATGAAATATTATCCAGCAAGTATTTAAATGAAACGGTCTTATTTAAATACAAATCATAACATGATATTTTTCATGAAACATTTTTCAATGAAATTCAATTGAAGGGTCAAGATAAAACGAGCTAATTTAGGTGAAAACCCTTACATGATGATGTGTTTTCATAACTTCTTTCATAAAATTCCATCAAGGGGTGAAGATAAAATGATCGAATTTAAGTGATTTAAGGATCACGAGAATATGTTTTCTTTGATATTTTCTATGAAATCCCATCCAATGGTCAAGGTAAAATTTTGATTTTGATTTTGATTTGGTCACGTGTTCGAAAGATCCATATAAGGCCCATAGAACCATATAGGAACGTCATTTGAAGGTCACGTGATAGATCCATATAAGGCTTTTAGAACCATTTATGGAAAGATGAGGGAAGCCCCTGACACCTGTTTCACGATTTTTATGCACTTCATTATTGTACCGAAGTTTGCCGATTCGATTCGTCGTATTTCGGAATCCTGGTGACAATTTTATACTCCATTGGAGTATTTTTGACCTACTTCTTATGACGGAAATTCCCGAACCTTGTTCGGATTAATCCGGATTTTCTGACCTACCTTATCTACCGAGATTTCACGAGTTAACATTCGTCTCATTCCGGAATCCTGGTGACAATTTTATACTCCATTGGAGTATTTTTGATCTACTTTTTCTGGATTTTGCCCTACTTATTATATCTTGACAACAAGCAAATCAAAAAGTTCGACATGAACGGGTCTCGATCAACTAACCTAGACTATGGAAGCCAGGCACGCTAACCATTAGGCCAACGAGCTACCGATATGAAAGAACAAAAGTATTATATATTTATACCGAGCGTCAATTCAAAATGATCCTCACTTTTGTCTCCACTTAAATACGACTCGTCAGTTGTATCCAGAATAGTAGAACGCCTATGGCGCTAGTGAATAACCAAGTCCCAGGTGAGTGGTTCGTATCCCTCCGTGATATACTATTTTTGTTTTATTAAATACGACAGAAAGGAGCAAGGTGTAGGTTGAAAACAAGACGTTAGTTTGTTTCAAAACAGTTTGGAAACATTAATCTCTGGAACATTATTTTTTCAACACTGATACAAATTTCCCTGACATTTCCCTGACATGTCTACCGTTTCAAAATTCCCGGTCATCTTTGGCCCTTTTGACCTAATTTTAAAATTACCTGACATTTCCAGCACTTGGAAAATCAAGTCAATTTCCCTGACATTTCCAGCTGTGAATGAACCCTGGAAATATCCCACTGGCTCGCCCTATGAATCGCTAGCACAGATTGGATTGATTAGTGTTTCAAAATGGTGGACGAAGTGTTTGATTAGATAATTTACATATTAAGCTTCTTAAAGGGGCAACAAGGCCTGTACATAGAAAATTCGAAATTTTTCACATTTTCTGAATTTTTAGGGCAACATTTGGCTTTAACATCTTTTTTTATACATTTTTTCTTAAAATGTATGGATAAAGAATAAAATTTCAGCATTAAGCAGTGCAAATTCAGTTCAAAGCTTCTATAAAGGGAGTCCAACTTATAGATTTTGAAAATCCGACTCGTTTAAAGAAGAATATCAGCAGCTTAAATCACGCCTTGTGATCATACAAAATGGATGGAGGGGGGGGGGGGGTAGGCGATTTCTGCAAGAAAACTCAACAAATTTGGAAGATTTATTTTTTTCAAGATAAAATTTACAACTGAATTGCCAAATGAATAGGCGCAGTGCATGGCAAAATATGTAAGGTCTTCTAGTATTTTTTGAACTGATACGCTTCTAAGATATGAGATCTATTATAAAAGGCGCATCATCATCATCATCATCATCATCATCAACATGCAAAAGTCAATGTTTTTGCTATAAATCAGGCAACAATGGTCTACACGACCTGTAATAAATAGGTATGAGGGGCGTTATTAGAGAATTTTCGTTATAAGTTTTTTAAAAACTTATACGTATACTTATACTTATAAACCGAATAAACAAGGTGTTTCATAATTTCCTAATTCGTCGGGAAATATCTCCTAGGACGGTAATAAAAAGGGCCAATGGCATACCATCCGTACCCCCTTGATGTAAAGCATGTTTAGTTGTGTCATATGTGTTTTCTAGAATCAAATAGGCTGATATAGCACACGGGTTTTACAGATTTATCTACTCTCAAATATATTTTTTGTAGATGATCGTTTTGAATCACCTTGTAGAAATAACGAAGGGAGAATTAGTTCAGCTAATGAATGAGTCGAGCTATTTGATTGGATACTATGCCTATTCAGCCAATTAATTTTAATAAGCCATTCTGGTCAGTTGGTCCACACATATACTATGCGGAGATCCAACTCTGTAAGTTTATAATCTGCGTATAAAGGCCCTTTTATACGTAAAAACTTAAAAATTGACCTTATAATTTCATGAGAACTTTGAAATGATCGACTCGTTCGTGTAGTGATTCACTTAAAAGGGTCTTGTTTATCGTAC